ATATAAGTTTATCAAATAAAGTCTAATGTTACAACTAATCAGGGATCTCTTTAAGGTGCAGACATAGATAAACTTGTTGGTACACTTAAAGAAACACTTCATTTCACATTTGAAGTGCTTCAGAAAAAATACATTAATATACATCTATATTAATGTATTATGATCAAGTTGAGCATAAAAAGTTTAAAACGTTTCTTCCAAAGCTATGCTAACAGGTTGAGCTAATTAATGTTAGCATTAAAGCCATGAATCTAACTGTTGGACCTCACAGGTTCCTTCAAGCTTTTCACCAGACGTTCAGCATGTTTAAAGAGAACAGCCCGGTTCAGCTGTGAGCCCCACCCTGAACCTAGACCAGAGAAACCACAACCCTGAACCTAGACCAGAGAAACCACAACCCTGAACCTAGACCAGAGAAACCACAAGTCAGATTATTGATAGAAATGTTCGAGCTAAAGCCTCCAAGACCATCTCCAAGCAGCTTTGTGGTCCTCTGACCTTAGCTGACAGGATTATTAAAAAGTATGAAGGTTCGTTGAACTGTCAACCTCACAAGGCATGGACGCAAGAGGAAATGCGACCCCAGGTTGATGAGCCGAATAGTGAAATGGAAGAAAAACATTCAAACTGAGACAAAACTGGAGCTTTTTGGCTTCCAGTCACATCTGTTTTGTTTTGTTTTATTCTTGTGAAATGGTACCAACACATTTCCTGCGTCTGTATTCACCCTCGCAGTTTTCCACAGAAACGCTGTAGCAACATCTGTGACCATTGAGCTGAGCTGTTTATCAGCTTTATAATACATCCTAAAGTGTCACATGGGCAAAAAAACAAAAACAAAAATAGAACGTCAACACAATCCTTCCAGCCGTGCTGTCGATTCAAACGAGTCTGAAGATTGTGTCGTGTGTTACACCAGATGTGAAAGTGGTTTGAGTAAAAATTAGATCCTCACTTTGAACACTGATGAAGACYGTTTGCACGACTGGAGGTAAATAAAACAAACTGCTGTAAACACGACTCGTCGTCCTGAAACTCTGAACCAGCACAGTTTTCACCGCCTTCATCGGTGATGATTCTAACCCCAGCCTCTCATGGTTCAGATCTGTAGCGCTGGAGTGAGCTACAGACAAATGGATCGTTTCACGCGGAGATACAACACAAAGGGTCTTTAAACTCCTGGACGCCTCAGTTTCAGAGCAGCCTTCCTCTGTAAAAACCCTTCAGCTCTTTATGGCACTAAATAAATAAACATGGAGTTACAAACAGCTCCTCTTATTTGGATTTAGAATCATCCCAGCACGTCCCAGCTTTGACTCCAGGACAAGTCTGTCACTCTTCCTGCTGCTCAGAGTCAGTTGTTGTGGCAGCAGCTGTAAAAGATCGAGTCTTTCTTCTGGCCCAAGTCCACGCCCGGTTCCTCTGATGGAAACAAAAAGAAGGGATCATSATCTCTGGATGAAAGCTGACGGTTCTGTCAGCGCCGTACCGTCTCAGTGAAAACGAGCGTAAACTCACCTGTCATGTACTGGAAGGAGCTGTCGTTGTAATCCTCAGCAACTTTGTGGAACAGCTCGTCTGGAGGACAGGAGGAGAACAAAACTAAAGTCAGATTAGTCTACATACGTATATATATATACCACTTTATTAGGTCCACCTGTCCAACTGCTCATTAACACTTAATTTCTAATCAGCCAATCACATGGCGGCAACTCAGTGCATTTAGGCATGTAGACATGGTCAAGACAATCT